TAGGCAACGACTCTAATCAAACAAGCACTCTGAAATAAAGGTAATTTTAGCAAAATTTCACACCTGCTACTTTTCTAGTAAAATTGGAATTTTAAGAGTTGAGGGCACTATATTTTAGATTAAAAAGCGCGGATAGTATACAGCAACAGGCCCCTATCTCTTTCAAATGTACTCAGCTTCAACTACTCAACAACTTAATTTCATTTTAACCCATTTGAATCCATACTTCCAGATTTGACCACAAGCAATTACTAATTTCCCGCGGTTTTCAAAAGAATAATCTAGAAGGAGAGATTTTTATATATCAAAAAAGTCATGGCGATAAAAACCCATTCACTATAGCAAAAAAAAAACAATTTCACAAGAAAGATATGGAAAACTTATACTAGACTATATTAGAAATATAAGTAGTAAATAAAAAAGCGGAGAATAAATTGAATAAGTCAATATTCCAACGATTTTTCGTTGAGAGATTTTTCGTCGTTTTCGAAACGCAGAACTTAATATAAAAAAGTAATATAAAAACTGTTCTCACTCTCTCTTACTCATTCATTCTCCTTTTCTATCTCTTTTCCTCTTTCTCTCTCTCTCTCTCTCTCTCTTTCTCTCCATTTCTTTGTGTCTTTTTCCTGTTTCCAATCTGTTTCCAATCAATAAAGATTTGCATGAAGATTTTTCTTAATCTTTCTCTCTGTCTTTTTCTTCCTTACTTTTGCTATATCTTTTTCAATCCTTCTATCTCTCTGTCTTTCCTACTCACTCTCTATCTTTCTTACCCACTATCCATCTTCTTACTCTCTCTCTCGCCCTCTGATAATTCATGTTTTGTCAAAACCGTACCCTGTAATTTTGCAATGATTACTGATTTTTGAACGTTCTTCATAGTTTGTGATGGTTATTTTCTACTGATACTGGTATTGGTGGATAATGGATACTTTCAAACTGTCCAATTATCGGCAATCCATATTCAAAGTAGTTATAAGGTGTTTTAATGAGAATTCAAAAACACAACATATAAAAATTGCAATACACATAAGACATAACTATTCTGTTGTATGCCTTCAATATCATTTGTAATTCATAATCAAAGAAAGACCAGGACCGTTAACGCACTACATTATTTTTAACAATCCATTTTAACAATCTTTCATCTTTAAGATCTGCAAAACTGTTCTATATAACTTAGAACACTCAGCTCTCGCATTATTATTATTATTAACACTATTGTCGTGAAATCGTCCAATAGTTAGGACTGCGGCCAGACAATATGACAACAATCTGGAAAAGAGCTATTAATCTCTTCTGGTGACAAAAATTCCGTATGGAATAAGTTTCTTCTGTGCGTTGTTGAAGCTGAACAATAACAAAGAATATGCATAGCTGTTTTCTTACCTTCGAGGCATAATCTGCATTCCGAATTAGCAGATAATAGAAGTTTACATAGGTGCTATTTCAGATCATAATAACCCATAATGAAACCCGTTAGCAACCTTAAATTCCTTTTAAGAATTATTAAATATCTTTACCATACTCTTAGGTTTTATCAGTGCATTGCTTTGTCTAAGTCCTGGGATGTCTTCCTAACAGTCCAGCCGCATATGATTCTCCTTTTCCTTGACCATTTATTTTGTACTGGCCCATTTTAATCCACAAAAGGGTTGTGAGCTTGTAAAAGCAATTTTTGTTGCGGTTTTCGCTGGCTCATCAGCTTGTTCAATGCCCAAAACTCCCCTGCGATCCGGACTGTAGATGTTCATAACACTCGAGGATCTGTTCCAATTTGAAAGAAGTGGAAAGAGTCCTAGGAGATAGAGCTGTAATTAAGACAGCTCTCACATTACATAGCTTATAATATTATTTGAGCTTCATCATTTGTTTTCTTCTAATCCAATAATCTTTGTGTCTCAAGTATATCCGCATGTTATGATTTAATTCAAACAATGTTCTTTCTTCTTAATAAAAGGGATTATTTATTTTAATTGAGAATTTCAATAATGATTTATTTTATTTGCTAAGTTAAATTGCCTCAAGTATTAATTATCTTAATGACTTATTGTGAATTTTTTTTTATTGATGACTTTTAAAATTGCAATAACAAAATTTTCTTCGAATACAATTTGTGAAATGAATTTCATCCAACTCAACTGCTCTACTTGCTCTAGCTCTATTAGAAAAACAAAAATATGTGATTTTACACTTAAAGTATTTCATTACCGTAAAAGCTTCTCAATTAGGTTCAGTTTTCAAATACGAAATACGAAAAACACACTCAATTCGATGCAATTTCAAAGAAAAAGTAAAGTAGTTAGTTGGAAGTGAATGTGCCAGGGCATGTGTGAAAGGATGCACATGCACATCTGAAGTCCTTACACTTTTTCTGGTTGTTGCATTAAGTGCATTCTCGTCACTAATTGAAAGTTTTTCTATTATTGTTGCCATAGATTTAATACTTTGCTCTCATATACGAGCAGCACAAATAAATGCGAACCTTATCCATGGCGACTAAGTAAGGACGGACTGCGATACTTATACGCTCGTTAGTTGCCTTTCCTTTTAATATACTTTAATTGGCATTGCACTAATTTATTTGTACAAATGTTTCATATAATTGGCAGGATTTAGTATTGTAGTGGTATTTATTTTACAAAGAAAACACATTATCACAATTTTAAATGGAAAGGACTAGTTTCGTTATGGAAGTTTGCTAACTAGATTTTGTTGCTGCTTTGTGCGAGGCTTATGAAGAATGCCTTTTACTACACTATAGTAGTACTATGAGGTACACTGAAGTACACTGAAGAACTCATTAAAAAAAATTATTTCAAAGTTGACTTTAAGTAGATAAATTTTCATGTTTACTATCATGAATTACGCCATTGAATTTTATAAAATAATACTATTTTGAAATTTTAAATGATTTATATTAATAATTTAATTATATTAATAAGAGTAGGATATTAATAGGACAGAGCTTGTCAATATAAAATTAATATAGTTAAATTTATATTTAATATTAAATATCACAATTATACGTATTTGTGAAATAAATATTTCATATTTTTATTCATTCATTAATTATGTACTTAATTAACCCATGAACTTTGATTTCATTTACAATATTAATTTCTCAGGTAAATTATTAAGCATACAGAGAATTAATAGTAATTGCTTTATTTAATTAATGCATTTACAATGATTAAATTAATACATTTATGTGGATGTGAACTTTCAAGTAAATAAAAACTTTTTTACCACAAATCAGAATTTCAATCATATTCATTTTTACATAAAAGCAACAACTTTAACATTTAATTAAATAAATATATCAACCTTTCATACTTAATTTATTACAACTAACATTAGTTTTAATTACATTAAAATGTTCTAGTTCAAATTAAAAAATAAAATAAATTTCAAAGTGTTGAGTGAGGGACCTACGAGGAAACTGGACTCCAGTACCTTATTCTAAGTTAACTTTGAAATTAACTTTAATGTTATCTCGCACAAAAATAAATAAATAAATTTTAAAGAACAGAGTTAGAGAT